ACTACTACTACTACTACTACTACTACTACTACTACTACTACTACTACTACTACTACTACTACTACTACTACTACTACTACTACTACTAAGAAGAAGAAGAAGAAGAAGAAGAAGAAGAATGATATTGATAATGATATAAGGCAAGGCCGTGGGGATTCGGACACTGGGCACTTTATTTGGGAGTTTGAGGTCGCTCCCCCTGAGGCGAGGGGATACAATATTATGTGCAAATTGTGCCCTCTCGACTCGGGTTCGAGATTCCTGCGTCAGAATCTCCGCAATCTTAATAGCACCCGAAAAGAACACTCGGGACAAATGATCAGGGAGTAGAATGCTGGAATTTTAAAGATCATAATCTGTTCGCCAACTTGCTGCCTACAACCCGCTTACAAATACCTCAACATGCCTGACACTTTACTGTCTTCCCACTTAGGTCATCTCGACTTCTGTCTTGGCCCGATAGACTAGGCTAACACTAACAGTGTCACCTATGCAGAGACTGTGCGCACCATTTCGTAACTTCACAGTGACCGTAAAGATGGTTCCAGTAGGGAACGGGATAGAGGGTGCCCACTGCCCACGTCCCTCGAGACTCATTGGAAGGAGCAGAGGAAGATAGGACCAACGCTAACTTTACTTAAACGCAATCCCACATCATCACTCATCACCACAGTTGTATCTAAAACTATCACCGCTCTCAGATCAATGATTTACAACTATAATCCTGGAATCTCTATCTGCTGTAACAGTTGCTTGTTATACTACGTATGCACGTAATACACCACTAGACACTATCACACGCACTTTTTCCTACTAATCAGATGGCGTCAATCTCATATAAATGGGCAAGGGATAAAAAAAGACGCTGATAATAATAATTTTAATCATGATACTACTACTACTACTACTACTACTACTACTACTACTACTACTACTACTACTACTACTACTACTACTACTGCTGCTGCTGCTGCTGCTACTGCTATTGCCGCTGCTACTACTAATATTAATAATAATAACAATAATAACAACAACAATAATCATAATGATAACGTCACATTTAGATGTTGATTTAGTACAAGTTAAATGAGATAGAAAAGGAACGAATAGGAAAGCTCAAATGCGGGAAAATTTAGCTGCTCTTTCCCTCCATTGTCTCCATTGTCAGCCTGTTTGTCTGTCTGTCCGTTAGTGCGTGTGTGTGTCTGTTTGTTAGTCTGTGTGTGTTGCTCGGTCTCAGCACTAAATAACTGTTACCATGATAATGTGCCACTTAGAGAGAAAGAATTATGGAATACTTTTCAGTCCTTTTTTCTTTCATATTTTTTTCCCTTTCTTTTTCAGCGACCGAATGTGTCAAGAAGATTCGCGTATTTACGCTTTTTTACAGTTACTCGGCAAAGTCAAAGTTACAACTTGATCTAGATCTAAGAGGACCAATAAAAGTGACTTTTCTTTCTTTCTTTCTTTCTTACTTTCTTTCTTTCTTACTTTCTTTCTTTCTTTCTTTCTTTCTTTCTTTCTTTCTTTCTTTCTTTCTTTCTTTCTTTCTTTCTTTCTTTCTGTCTGTCTTTCTTTCTTTCTTTCTGTCTGTCTTTCTTTCTGTCTTTTTTTCTTTCTGTCTTTCCTTTCTGTCTTTTATTCTATCTTTCCTTCTTTCTTTCCCCTTTTTTTACTTCTTTCTCTTTTGTCATCAAAGGAATGCTAAATGTGCCGAAGTTGACTTTACCACAATGGGCATCCTGAGTTCGCTGAGCCTCATGCAGCACGTGTGTCCGTCCACTGTATCCCAAGTGCAGTACTCAGCTCGCCGGACTGCCCAAGTAGAGGAGATCACAGGTTACAAGTGTGTCTTGGAGTGACCATTACGTGTGCTGAAGGTTACATGCAACTAATTGTCTTTAGTACAATTTGGCTCTCATTGTAGAATTCGGGTTTATATGGCCGCACAGGACGGTGTGTGGTGTGGTGTGGGGTGGGGTGGGGTGATGCTGTGTAGTGTAGTGTGGTGTAGAGTGGTGTGGTGTGGGGTGGAGTGGTGTAGTACGGTGTGGTGCGGTGTAGTGTGGTGTGGTGTAGGATGGCGCGGTGTGGTGTAGTGTGGTTTGGTGTGGAGTGGTG